CCATCAGAAGTCACAGCAGAGCTGCCAACCACGACACAGAAGACCACAATACCCAGTGCCAGTCTTAGAGTAAATGAAAATTATTCACTTCACAATCAGGAGGAAATGCTGTGGAATTAAAGCTGGAGTATATCCTAGAATTGGATTTTATTCTGCAGAACCCTAAAGTTAAACAGCTGGAATCATTTTTTAAGGACTTCTCTATTTAACCTTTGGAAATGAAGCATCTACCTTTTAATGGAAAAACTTCTTCTCATTGTAAAGACAGCACACGATGTTCTTGGCTTCTTTGGTCCCCACAAAGGGGATGTCAGATATCTCCCTGTGTCTCCACTGAATCTTGAGCCCCCTGTGTCAACAAAACAGGCCAAATTGATAGCTAACTTTAAAAAAAAATAATAAGTAAAAAGTACCAGCCCATCCTGAGAAGCACCAGGCAGGGCAAACTATGTAGACATATCTGCCTTTCAAGAAGTCTCAGGAGGCTTAAGAATCCACAGACTGAAGGGCCCCCATAACCAACCACAAAGCCACAAGAACCCAAGTTTACCATGCATTCAAAAGTTCTGTTATTTAAAAAGCATGAACGAAGTATGATTAGCTAATCGATCAATCAATCAAATGTTCCTACTTGGCACAAATCACTGCTGTGAAGGTCCCTGCCTTAAGCATATCATAACGCAACTGAAGAACTACAATGTGGAAGAACTAACGTGTTAGTCAACAGCACAAGGCACAGTTTAAGTGTCAGCAAGTTCACACAGCCCATAGCCAACAATACTAACTTGCTCTGGACCTTTCCTATATGCCAAGTGCTTAAAATGTATTTTCCTAATAAATCTTCACAACCCTATGAAATAGATACAATCTCTTGAGAGAAGATGCATAACATACCTAAAGTCACACAGTTAAAAAGCAGCTTCAAGCTCAAGTCTAACTGATTCCAAAACCCGTGTTCATAACCACAGTCCCTGGGACTTGCAGAGTCCAGGGAGAGGGAGCACTTGGGGCTGGCATAGGAAGCAAAGTTTGATGAAGACAGAAGCGACACTGAGCCAAGCCAGAGAAGCATCAATGTGTGGCACTGTGGTGGAAAAAGGGTTGTAGACAGAGAAGAAAGGGGAAGGAGAAATGAGCAAGGCAGCTGCTTGGATACAGCCACTCTGGAGTGAGGGGTAAGGGATGAGTGAGAATACCTACCTTGTAGGCCTTACCAACATGTCCCACTCTTTTTCCGTGTAAAATGCCATAATCCTACACAGAAAGACTTGGGAAGGGATCTGAGAGAGGGATCAAGTGGGAAAGGAGTCTGGCCTTTCCTCTGCCTTCCTTCTGTCCCTCTCTTGGCCCCAGTGTAATATCCCAGGTGTTCCACCCTCCCCACCCCCACCCCCCAGTCAACTGGGTGGCCGTGACACAAGCCTTCTGTGAAAATACCTACAGAGGGACAGTTTCTTGGCCTGAAGTTGTCTGATTGAGCCTGGCTGGCTCCAGGTAAAATCTACACTCTGTCTATTGCCTCTGGGCTCTGAACTCTGGGTGGGGGGTGGGGGTGGGGGTTCCAGGCTACCACTCTCCCAACAATTGGACAGTCAGCCTTGCAAGGGGTGGAGGAGCAGTTCTGTGGCATAAGAATAGTTTAGTTCTTAAGCCCCACCACGACCATGCACACACATTATTCTACATAGAAATGCCCTCACGAATAAGAACAATGCACCTGACCAAGCTGTTAGATCCTGAGGTCAGGATCTCATATATATTATATATCTCTATATATCCAAGGCCTATATGTGGTAGACATCCAACACCCAATTGTTGATGAAGATAGAATAAAAAAAAAAATGCCCTCACTATACGGTCTTTCATTCATTCACTCACTCATTCAACATGTAATAATTGAATGCCCATTTTGAGCCAGGAACTGTGCTATGTGATGAAGGTGACAGGGTGAAACAAGATGTGGTCCCCAACTTCAGGAGCCTTATATTCTGCTGTCAGTGGTGCATATTGGTGACAGATGGTCAGTCAACAGTAACTGTAATGACTGTTCGGATAAAGAGAAGCCCGGAAGGCTCCATGGAGTTCCAACTGCTCACACTGTAAGCCACTTTCCTTGTTCATTCCTGTATCTCCAATGCCCATCACAGCACCTGACACACAGTAAGTGCTCAGTATTTACTAAATTAAATGAAGATCTTACTGGTGCTATGCTCAACTCTGCCTCTCAGTGGCTTCTCCCCACTGGCCCTAAACCTGAAATCTACATGAAAAGAGATAAGGATACATGACAGTTCAAACAGGTCACAGCATGTTTGAGTTGGGAGGAATCTGACAAAGTTGTCTACCTCACTGCCATCCCCTCCCAATCACCACGTCTCCATGGTTGGGGTCCGTCATACATCACTTGTACTTTCTTTCTTTTCTAATTCCTCCTTATCCTGGATGCTCTTCTAAGAGTACTCAAGGTGATCAATGTTTTTATTAAAACTCAGGAATCCAGACCTTGACAGAACTTCTGACTGAGATGTCACTTCAATGTTCTTGTGCTTTCTCAGAGGCTCTACTCTGGCTCACCCCAGAGAGTAGGGGCAGGAAGTCTCACACCGCCCGGGCTTTCTCTCCTGTGCCAAAAAACCTACCTGCCAGAACTGGAATGCAGATCTTTGGGAAGGAGATGGTTACAGAGCTCCTATCATAAAGTTAAAAGGTGCTTGCTCGCCTGGTCAATCCTACTGGTCTCCCGCAGCGCTAAACAGTGGTGGCCCTAGAGGAAATCCTTTTTCCTTGACTGCTGGCTCGGCGGCAGGGAGCCACCTCCTCCTTGAGTTATTGGACTGTGAAAACAGCAATCTTGGCTTCTGGTTGGGTCTTCCCATACCGTTAGGGAAGCAGAGCCACTCTGGAAAAAGATAAGATCAGGAGGTCCTCCGAGGAGGCTCAGAAATGATTGCATTTGAGGGACAGTGGCCCTTGAGGCAGAGCAGGTTTCTGAGTTGACAGGAAAGCAAGGGTGATATGAAGGGGTAAATAAGAGGCAAGGGACAACTGCAAGGCAGGCTAAGTAGGGTCCCAGCCCTGGCCAGGCTCTCCAACTCTTCGTCCACAAAGCATTGCTCTTGGTCTTGGGACATGCTCAAAGCCTCCCAGCTGGGTACTGGAGAGTGGCTTTAGAACCAGGTCTCCTGATTCCTGAGTTTCTTTCTCACCACCCTGCCACCTCCCATGTATGGCTCTCATGGGAGAGCTCTTGTCTTGTCAAATACTGGAAGTTTCCCTTCAGGGGTCACTCCTGCTTCCCAGGTAAACCTGGGCTTTTCTGGTTTTGATGAGTGGCCTTTTTAACTCTCTAATGCCAACCGTCTCCCTGTCTGTAACCATCTCTTTCCTGGGAAAGATCTCGTGGGGTCTTCAGTGACCACCTGGGGGCCCTTGGCCATGGGTCGGAGTGATGTGCAGCCTGGAGCTGGGTCCAGCAGCCGATCTTCCAGGGACAGTGGGCAGTGCCTCGGCATCTGGGCAGGCTGATCCTTTTCTCCAAAGAGGGTAGTGCGGGAGGGGGAGGGGATGGAATCCAGAGAGTGCTCAGGCCAAAGGAATTCCTTTCTCCCCCTCAATCTGCCCGTCGCTCTGCCCGTCTGGGCCGCGGCAATGCCCACGGCAGAGAGCGGGAAAGGGGGGCAGAGGCGGCTTTGCTCGGCCGGCTGGGCTCTGGGGACTTGAGCTCTGCCCACCCCTCCTTGGAGGGCTGTCTCCCCTGGCTCCTGTCCCCCTCTCTGCCCGCCTGTCTCTCTGGGCCACCCGGGCGCCACCACTACTGTCCCCAACGCGCCCTGCCAGCCAGGCCAAATGGTGACGTGACTCACGGCGTTGCCACCAGCCCACGGCTTGCCCGGGACGTATAAAGGCTGCCCGGGCGGGAGGCGGCCGAGCCCTGCCCTGCCCGAGACCGCACAGCCAGCATGGCCCGAGGCGCGGAGCGAGGCCGCGG